GAGCTTGTAGTGAGCCGAGATTGCGCCACTGCACTCCAGCCTGGGCGACAGAGCGAGCCTCCTTCTCAAAAAAAAAACAAATACTTTTTTTTGTAGAAAGAGTCTCCATATATTGCCCAGGCTGGTCTTGAACTCCTGAGCTCAAGCGATCCTCCCACCTTGGCCTCCCAACCTCCCACCTTGGCGTCTCAGAGTGCTGGGATTACTGGCATGAGCCACTGTACCCCACCCACATTCCTTTAATTCCAATTAAATCTCTAGCCTTGAGAATTCCAAGACCTAGGTAGCTTTCACACTTCCACTCACCAGCTGCCCTGCCAATCCATAGCCCTCCCTCTCCTAGGATGGGTAACCTTTTCTCCTTTCTCTTCCCAGCTCTGGGGTGTCACCAAGCAAGGCTACCGCTGTCGGGGTGAGTGGGGTGTCAGCGAGTGGGGGGGAAGCCTTGGCCCACAGGCTGGAAGAATGGACACAGATCGGACCCCTGGCCATTAACTGCTGCCTTCCCCAGAGTGTGGGCTGTGTTGCCACAGACACTGCAGAGACCAAGTGAAGGTGGAATGTAAGAAGAGGCCGGGGGGCAAGGGCGATGCAGGGCCCCCCGGAGCTCCTGTTCCATGCACACCAGCTCCCCATGCCAGCTGTGGTAAGACCTAGAGCACAGCGGTGCTGGGAAGGGGCTTGGGGGAAGGGGGTTGAGTCCAAGGTCACGAGGCCCTTCCCATCAGACCCACATCCCTTCCATCCACCCACAAACAGGCTCCAAGGAAAATCTCTCCTACACGCTATCCCTGGAACCTGAGACTGGGTGCCAGCTTCGCCATGCCTGGACCCAGACTGAATCCCCACACCCTTCCTGGGAAACAGATACGGTGAGGAGAAACCGCCCCTACCCCCAAGTGGATACAGGGAACACAGGCCATTGGCCTGGGGGAGACTGGACAGATTTGGAGACCCATAGGAAAGTAAAAATATGCAGAAGTCCTTGACTGCTGGGGTGGGAGGGTATGGATGCTGGTGACTTTTTTTTTTTTTTTTTTTTGAGACAGAGTCTCGCTCTGTCGCCCAGGCTGGAGTGCAGTGGCGTGATCTCGGCTCACTGCAAGCGCCGCCTCCCGGGTTTACACCATTCTCCTGCCTCAGTCTCCCGAGTAGCTGGGACTACAGGCGCCCGCCACCTTGCCCGGCTAGTTTTTTGTATTTTTTAGTAGAGACGGGGTTTCACCATGTTAGCCAGGATGGTCTCGATCTCCTGACCTCGTGATCCGCCCATCTCAGCCTCCCAAAGTGCTGGGATTACAGGCTTGAGCCACTGCGCCCGGCCGCTGGTTACTTTTTAATGCTGATAGAAAAATAGGCCAGGTGTGGTGGCTCACACCTGTAATCCCAGGACTTTGGGAGGCCGAGGTGGGAGGATCACTTGAGGTCAGAAGTTCGAGACCAGCCTGCCCAACATGATGAAACCTTGTCTCTACTAAAAATATAAAAATTAGCCAAATGTGATGGCAGGGGCAGGTGCCCGTAGTCCCAGCTACTCGGGAGGCTGAGGCAGAGAATCACTTGAGCCTGGGAGGCAGAGGCTGTAGTGAGCCGAGATTGTGCCACTGCACTCCAGCCTAGGCGACAGCAAGACCTTGTCTCAAAAAAAAAAAAAAAGAAAGAAAATTAGAAGTTACAACATATTAGGGGTAGGGTGGGGATGATAACCACTAGAACAGAAAAAAGGATTCTAGCCAATAAGATAGCAAGAATAAGGCCAAATATATCAGGAGCTACTACTGTAAGTGTTAATGGAGTAAACGCCACTATTCGAGGGCAGAGACTCTCAGATTGGGTTACAAAAAGGATTTCACAGGCAACATTCATTCAGTCTGGGCGGGGCAGTGCTCCTGGCAGTGAAGTGTCTCCTAGACATCAGATGCCCTCCACATCATCTGTCTTCCTCCCTTCCTCCTTCCAGGTCCCCTGCCCGGTAATGGGCCCACCATCAACTGCATCCTCCAAGCCGGATTCCTAGACATCTCTTGGTCTCCTCTCTCCCTCACTCCCTTACCCCAGTCAGTCCTGACTCCTGTCGTCAGACTCTGGCAGGGCTCCCAGAGGTAGGACCCCCAAAGGCATCCGCCTTCCCATCCACGCTGCCTTTGGTGGCACGTCCATCATCTTTTTCCCCAGAAGTGACTTTCCTGTCTTGTGTGGTGGTGGATGCTAATCCTGCTCCCTTTCCCTGCACTTAGTATCTATGCAGCTCTGTGTTGGATATATCTAGACTCAGGCTTCATTTCACCAACTCCCTAAATCTCCATTTCTTTTTTCTTTTTTTTTTGAGAGAGTCTCACTCTGTCACCCAGGCTGGAGTGCAATGGTGCAATCTCAGCTCACTGCAACCTCCGCCTCCAGGGATCAAGCGATTCTTCTGCCTCAGCTTCCCAAGTAGCTTGGATTACAGGCACGCGCCACCATGCCCGGCTAATTTTTGTATTTTTAGTAGAGACGGGGTTTCCCCGTGTTGGCCAAGATGGCCTTGAACTCCTGACCTCATGATCCACCAGCCTCAGCCTCCCAAAGTGCTGGGATTACAGGTGTGAGCCACCGCGACCAGCCCCTGCTTTATTTTTCTGCATAGAACGTTCCCCCTCTGACAGCCTATATTTTTTCCCTCTTTTTCTCGTTGAACGTCTGTCTTTCCTCAACAGGAACATCAACTCCAGGAGAGCAGGGATTTCTATCAGTGTCTTTCACTGCTGCATCCTCAGTGCCTAGAACAGGGCTGGCAGGTGGTAGGCGCCTGACAGATGCTTGTCTGATGCCTGAAATGTCTCCTTACCCATGCCCACGGCACAGGAAAGATGTGCTGTAGGGCAAATAACTTTGAGGGTCAGAGCAGCAGGGGCCCATTCAGACCCAGGGAGCAGAGACCCCCCAACCCTTTCACAAACCTCAGCACCCCTGCCTGGGCCCCCCCAGAGAGAGGCCCTACAGCTGTCATAAATTAAATTTATTCTCCGGAGAACATGGTTCTTGGTATTGACTAGTGAATGGGAGTATGGCATTTGGGGCCTCAGGAATAGGAGATGGGGGGGCTTGGGTGCCAAGGACCAAGGAAAGCCTTAAACGGACTCCCCAGAGATTACTGATGGCACTGGCATCTCACGGAGGTCCCCCCGTCCCCGACCACCAGTCCCTCTTTACTTCTTCTTCTTCTTCTTCTTGCGGCCCCAACACTGGGGGCCTCCATCCTCTCTTCGGCTCCTCCAGGTGGGCATGGGAGGCTCCAGCTCATTTGGGCGGCCCCCCCGGTCTGGAACGTTGCCCATAAGCACCTGAGAGTTTATGAGATTTGAGTTGCACGGAAAAAAAGTATCTCGGACAAGGGGGCTAGAGAGCAAAGGGAACAACACAAGGCTGAAGAAGAAACAGCAGATGTTGACTATTTGAGTACAGTGGCTGGGGGAGAGGGGACTAAACTGGTAGAAGATACAAGCATGAGTTTTCTTTTTTCTTTTCTTTTTTTTGAGATAGAGTCTTGCTCTGTCGCCCAGGCTAGAGTGCAGTGGTACGATCTCAGCTCACTGCAACCTCTGCCTCCCGGGTTCAAGTGATTCTCCTGCCTCAGCCTCCCGAGTAGCTGGGACTATAGGCGTGTCTCACCATGCCTGGCTAATTTTTTGTTTTTAGTAGAGACAGGATTTCACTGTTTTAGCCAGGATGGTCTTGATCTGACCTTATGATCCGCCCGCCTCAGTTCCCAAAGTGCTGGGATTACAGGCGTGAGTCACTGAGCCCAGCCTTCTTTTCTTTTCTTTCTTTTTTTTTTTTTTTTTTTTTGAGCACAGTTGCCTAGGCTTTGTCACCCAGGCTGGAGTGCAGTAGCAAGAACATGGCTCACTGCAACCTCTGCTCCTGGGCTCAAGTGATCCACCCACCTTGGGCTTACTTTTTTTTTCTTAACTTAAATTTTGCCTTAATAGTTGCTGTGCTAGACTTTATTCCCTAATACTCATTTTACATAAGACTACTTACAGAGGTATGCGGCTAGATACCTCATCACTAAAACAGAGCGTATTTCTTTTTTTTTTTTTTTTAAAAAAAAAAAAGGTTAAAAGGGTGCGGTGGCTCACGCCTGTAACCCCAGCACTTTGGGAGGCTGAGGCAGGTAGATCACAAGGTCAGGAGTTCAAGACCAGCCTGACCAATACAGTGAAACCCCATCACTACTAAAAATACAAATATTGGCTGGGCACAGTGGCTCACGCCTGTAATCCCAGCACTTTGGGAGGCTGAGATGGGCAGATCACGAGGTCAGGAGATCGAGACCATCCTGGCTAACACGGTGAAACCCCGTCTCTACTAAAAGTACAAAAAATTAGCTGGGCATGGTGATGGGCACCTATAGTCCCAGCTACTGGGGAGGCTGAGGCAGGAGAATGGCGTGAACCCAGGAGGCAGAGCTTGCAGTGAGCCGAGATCGTGCCACTGCACTCCAGCCTGGGCGACAGAGCGAGACTGTCTCAAAAAAAAAAAAAAATACAAAAATTACCCGGGCATGGTAGTGGGTGACTGTAATGCCAACTACTCAGTAGGCTGAGGCAGGAGAATCGCTTGAACCCGGGAGGTGGTGGTTGCAGTGAGCCGAGATCAAGCCACTGCATTCCAGCCTGGGTGACAGAGCAAGACTCTGTCTTGGAAAAAAAAAAAAAGGTTAAAAAACAAGACAATAGATAGTGTTTGGTGATGGGGAAGGATTTTGAGCCCAAGGTGGAGAGGTAGCCAGGGATTCAGTACATAGCTGGACTTTGTTTTCAGATCATTAGGGAGCCGTCACGGAAGCATTCTGAGCTGGGGAGTCCACGGTCACTTTTTGTGTGAGCGAGGTCCTAGCTCCCGTGTCTAGGGGGTGGAATAGAGGTGGTGAGTCTGAAGCTTGAACCGGAACAGAGGCTGAAAGGCCAATCTGAAGGCCAAGGATGTCAGGGCCCTTCCCTACCCCAGATACCCACCTTGTTGATGGCACAGCAGGTCCCTCTGCGGACAGCCATGCTGGTGGCTGGGATGAGACGAGACAGGTCGGCTCGGGCAGCCAGGACGTGTGCGATGGAGATGTCCGATTCCGGGGTTAGAACCTCTCGAATTGGGATCAGCACTGCCCTCATGGCTTCTCCTTGGGCCTGGAGTGGGAAGGAGGTAACAGAAGTTACCCTGGAGCCCTCCCCAAGTGGGACCTGTCGTCTTGGAAGCATCGCTTTACCATTCAAGACCTCACTGCCCACAGCTCTAAATAAATATTTATTGTTTGAGACAGGGTCTCGCTGTCTCCCAGCCTGGAGTGCAGTGGCATGATGGTGGCTCACTGCTGCCTCAATCTCCTGGGCTTAAGTGATCCTCCTACCTCAGCCTCCTAAGTAACTCAGATGACAAGCATGTGCCACCATGCCCAGCTAATTTTTTTTTTTTTTAATTTTTAGTAGAGATGAGGGTTTTGCTATGTTGCCCAATCTGGTCTCAAACTTCTGAGCTCAAGTGATCCTCCTGCCTTGGCCTCCAAAAGTGCTGGGATAACAGGCATGAGCCACTGTGCCTGGCTCTGCTCATATCTCTTAAAGATGGGGTATACTTGGCCAGGTGTGGTGGCTCATGCCTACAATCCCAGCACTTTGGGAGGCCAAGGCAGGCAGATCACCTGAGGTTGGGAGTTCGAGACCAGCCTAACCAATATGGAGAAACCTTGTAAAAAATACAAAATTAGCCTGGCGTGGTGACGCTTGCCTGTAATCCCAGCTACTCGGGAGGCTGAGGCAGGAGAATCGCTTGAACCCGGGAGTCAGAGGTTGCAGTGAGCTGAGATCACACCACTGCATTCCAGCCTGGCAACAGAGCGAGACCCTGTCTCAAAATAAATAAATAAATAAATTAATTAATTTTAAAAAAAAGATGGGGTATGCCTCTGAATATACTCCCAGCTCAGAGCTGGAAATTCAACAATACCCTGCGGCCCTGAGATTCTAGGAGCCCCAAACATCAAAAACTTCTAAAAGTCCACAGCCTGAGAACCTGCCAGAGGGTGATACTCCTGGCCCTCATTCCTCCTCCCTGCAACTGCAGCCCCCACAACTGGGCCTCTCCAATTCTGCACGGTTCCCTGCTCACACCTCTGCCCGGTCACTCCAGTGGAAAGCAGATGTAGTCAGGTCAAGGCGCTTGAGGAGGAGGTAGCGGCGGCAGCGGTACTGATCTCTGAGGCTTTGGGACAGAGACTCCAATGCTTCCTGGGAGAAAAAGTCTCAAGGTCAGGCTAGGGGTCCCTCTCACAGCCACCTCTGATGAGGACACAGTTCACATTCAGTCAGTCACACACAGTCTTACCCATCTGGGTGCATCTAGCGAGTAGCTGAGGAGGGGCTGCAGGGACCCTGGGGGCAGAGAAGGCTGCAGCTCTGAGATCTGATGGGAGAAGAAGTCAGAGGCCAATTGGGGCAGAGAGGATGGGCCCCTCTGTAAACCCAGCTCCCCAAAACCCTGAGGACCTAGGCCACAGACGTGAGAATGGCAGTCACAGCTCCAGAAAAACCAGGCTAGAGGTTGGAATACTCCTTCCAGAGGTGTTTTAGAAAGAGGACCGCCACCCCCACAAGGAAAGCAGGGTAGCCCAGGTGGGGAGGGGACTCTGACTCTCTACCTTAGCATGCAACTCTTGCAGCAGCTGGCTGGCGGGGGTCCCTGGTGCAGGTCTGGGCAGTCCCAGGGCTTGGAGGGTAAGGCCCAGTTCTTGGACCATGCCAGCTCCCTCCACCACCCCTTCACCAAGGGGTGGCCTAGGACTGGGATCCAGCAGAGAGCGCAGGCGCAGGAGGCGGGTGGCTTGGAGCTCTGAGCAGAGAAAACCTGAAAGTAATAAATGGGTGCTGTGCACTCAGGGAGGCTGCTACCCCATTCATCCATCTTGGTCAAAAAGCTCCACCAATGTCCAGGCGCAGTGGCTCACTCCTGTAATCCCAGCACTTGGGGAGGCGGAGGCGGGTGGATCACGAAGTCAGGAGATGGAGACCAGCCTGGCCAACATGGTGAAACCCTGTCTCTACTAAATATACAAAAATTAGCTGGACATGGTGGTGAATGCCTGTAATCCCAGCTACTCAGGAGGCCGAAGCAGGAGAATCGCTTGAACCAGGGAGTTGGAGGTTGCAGTGAGCCGAGATGGCGCCACTGTACTCCAGCCTGGCAACAGGGCGAGACTCTGTTTCAAAAAAAAAAAAAAAAATGGCTCCACTGGCTTTAAAACCTCCACCTTCGCCCAGGCACAGTGGCTCATGCCTGTAATCCCAACACGTTGGGAGGCTGAGGTGGGAGGATCACTTGAAGCCAGGAGTTGAGGACCAGACAGGGCAACATAGGGAGACCCCATCTCCACTTAAAAACAAAAAAAAATCTTCCACCTTCTAGTCCCACCCACCTAAAGCCTTGGCCTCCAGAGTATGCCCCTCCTTGAGACCCGGTGTCCTCCTATGAATTTGACTCCCACCCACTTCGAAACGTCGAGCCTTCCTCTTAATCCAACCTACTTAAGCTCCCAGGCCCTTCAATTAAAATTCTACCCCCGGGCCAGGTGTGGTGGCTCACGCCCGTAATCCCAACACTTTGGGAAGCCGAGGAAGGCAGATCACTTGAGGTCAGGAGTTGGAGACCAGCCTGGCTAACTTGGTGAAACCCCGTTTCTACTAAAAATACAAAAAATTAGCCAGGTGTGGTGGTGCGTGCCTGTAATCCCAGCTACTCAGGAGGCTGAGGCAAGAGAATCACTTGAACCCGGGAGGTGAAGGTTGCAGTGAGCCGAGATCGCGCCACTGCACTTTGGCTTGGGCAACAAGAGTGAAACTCCATCTCGAAAATAATAATAATAAAAAAATAAAATAAATAAAAAATAAGATTCTACCGCCGCCCATCTCAGAGCGCTCTCGCCCCAACATGCTCACCTCACCCACCTCGTACCCTCTGGGCCGCCCCCAAAGTTCTGACTACACCCCCTTGGGAACCTCGATTTCCCCTAAAAAGTCGGAGCCCGCCGCTCCCGAGGCCATGGCCTTGCCACTTCCGCATCCCGGGACTCACGCAGCAGGCGCAGTCCGGCACCCGGTTCCCGAAGCGCAGCCGCGCCATCCCCGCCGCAGAGCGCGCGATCCGGGCAGTGCAGCTCCCGCAGCAGGCGGCCAAGCTGCCGCAGAAAGTCCTCCTCCGCGTAGGGGCCTGCGGGGACAGGGGGGTCAGGGCTCGGTGGCCTCGTGGCGGCCCCCCTGCCACCCTCGCGCTCCGTGCTTACCGTCGCCGGCGCTCAGCACCTCCGCGCCCGCCTCTCGCTGCTGCTCGAGGGCGCCCAGCGTCGCCAGCTCCGCCGCCAGCCGCACGCACAGCGCCCTGAAGTCTGGACATGAGGCGCCCCGCGACGCCGTCCCCGGGACACCCCCATACCTGTGGGGACCGAGGCAGCGGAAGGGGGCGAGGAGGTCACTGAGAATCCCTTTCCTTCCGCGTCCAGGGGGCAGACCTGGCCTTCCTGCACCCACCAGCCTCACCACACACCCTTTTACCCCAGAGCCAGTAGGTCCTGGGCCACCGCGGCCCCCTCCCGCGCTTCCGCCTTCACCCCCTCCATGAAAGCGTTGCCTCGGCGCGCCCCCTGGCGGCCGGTGGCAGGCTCCGCCCCAGAAGCGCCGCGCGCACGAGCTCCTCGCAGCGTCTGGCGGCACTGACCAATCGGCATCTTCCCGCGCAGGGGCTTGGGTGCTCCCATTGGCACAGGAGGACGCCGAACCCGCCCCGGGGCCCGCCCTCCCCGCCCTCCCCGCCCCTCGGGTAACCTGACAGGGTTCTAGGAACGCCCCCTGGCGCTGTAAATTGCAGTGCGTTCCGGATCTCCGATGTTAGACAAGCTGGCGGCGGGTGTCACTGTTGCGGTAACATAAAAACAACTTCGGTGTCCTTTTCCTTTTCCTCCCTCAGTTGTCCTCTGCTGGCATTTTGTTGGTTTGTTTTTGAGGCAAATCTCGCTCTATCGTTCTGGACTGCAGTGGTGCCATCACGGCTTACTGCAGCCTCGACCACCTGGGCTCAAGAGATCCTCCCACCTCAGCCTCCCAGCTAAATTTTTAAAAATCATTCAGGCTTGATGGCTTATACCTAGTAGCTGGGACCACAGGCACAGACCACCACACTCGGCTGATTTGTTTTTAATTTTTTTGTAAAGACAAGGTTTCCTCATGTTGCCATGCCTGGTTTCCATCTCCTGGGTTCAAGCGATCTTCCTGCTTTGGCCTCCCAAAGTGCTGGGATTACAGGCGTGAGCCACTGCGACGGGCCATTTTTTGAGACAGAGTCTCGCTCTGTCGCCCAGGCTGGAGTGCAGTGGCGCGATCTCCGCTCACTGCAAGCTCCACCGCCTCCCGGGTTCACGCCATTCTGCCTCAGCCTCCCTAGAAGCTGGGACTACAGGTACCCGCCACCACACCCGGCTAATTTTTTTGTATTTTTTTAGTAGAGACGGGGTTTCACCGTGTTCGCCAGGATGGTCTGGATCTCCTTTTTTTTTTTTTTTTTTTTTTTTTTTTGAGACGGAGTCTCGCTCTGTCGCCCAGGCTGGAGTGCAGTGGCCGGATCTCAGCTCACTGCAAGCTCCGCCTCCCGGGTTCACGCCATTCTCCGGCCTCAGCCTCCCGAGTAGCTGGGACTACAGGCGCCCGCCACCTCGCCCGGCTAAGTTTTCATATTTTTTAGTAGAGACGGGGTTTCACCGTGTCAGCCAGGATGGTCTCGATCTCCTGACCTCGTGATCCGCCTGTCTCGGCCTCCCAAAGTGCTGGGATTACAGGCTTGAGCCACCCGCCCCGGCCTTTTTTTTTTTTTTTTAAGTTTTGTAGAGGCTGGGCGTGGTGGCTCACGCCTGTAATCCCAGCACTTTGGGAGGCTGAGGTGGGTGGATCCCTTGAGGTCAGGAGTTCAAGACCAGCCTGGGCAACATGGTGAAACCCCATCTCTACTAAAAATACAAAAATTAGCCAGGCATGGTGGCATGCACTTGTGGTCCCAGCTGCCCAGGAGGCTGAGGAAGGAGAATCACTTGAACCCGGGAGGCAGAGGCTGCAGTGAGCCGAGATCAAGCCACTCTGGGCGACAGAGCGAGACTCCATGTCAAAAAAGAAATTTTTGTAGAGAGGGGTCCAGCTATGTCTCCCAGGTTTGCCTCTTAACTCCAGGGTTCAAGCAATCCTTCCCCCTCAACCTCCCAAAGTGTTGGGATTACAGGCTTGAACCAGTGTGCCTGGCCCTGTCCTCTGCTCTTAAAGCAGCCCAGATGGAGTGGTGTTCACCCAACTCAGCCTAAAATCCAAAACTTTCTCCCTCCTTTACACCTCAGGGTTTGAATTACATAAGGGACCTAGGAATCCCGGCACACCCCTCACACACCAGGCCCTCCTCATCGGTCACAATGTGCCTGTTAGGCCTTCACTCCTCTCCCTTCTAAGCCTTGCAATGAGTAGGTGCAGTGCACCATAGTGGTTGAGAAATTATACCCTAGGAGTCAGGCAGACAAGGGTTAGGGTTTGATTCTATTACTCACCAGCTCCATGTTCCTGCCAAATTGCTTCCCATCTATATAACGGGGATAATAGTACCTACCTCTTAGAGCTGTTACTGAGGATTAATTGGAGTTTCATATGTAAAAAGTGCTTAGCAGATATAAAGGGAGTACTTAATAAAGAATAACTAATATATATATATAGCATTTAATGTGTACTACTGGGCAAAGTATCTTATCTCTTTTACAGAGGAGAAAACTAAGATTGAGAGAAGATAAGTCACAGAGTGAATTCCTGGTGATGCCACGGCTTGAAGATGAAATTCCAGACTCCATGCTCTTAAACCACGGAACCTATTTCTACGGTTACTACTACTGTTGTTTTGTTGCTGTTGCTAAGTAAACATTGTGTGAGATCTAATCTCTTCCTTACAGTATTCTGGTATCCAGTAGTTCCTAGACAATTCTGCTGGAAGTGGGGGGTGGACCAGGAGCCTGGAGGGAAGAGCAGGGATAGAACTTGTTCCTTAAAGACAGATCTGAGTAACCCCATAACCCTGTTTACCCCAAGGCAGGACACTTGGGGGGCTAGTTGTTGACATAAATCGAATGTTAAAAATTGCCCAGAGGCGGGCCACAGGGGCTCACACCTGTAATCCCCACGCTTCAGGAGGCTGAGGTGGGAGGATCGCTTGAGCCCAGGAGTTTAAGACCAGACCAGGCAACAGAGTGAGACCATGTCTCTACAAAAACATTTTTTAAATTAGACAGGATTGGTGGTGCGCACCTGTAATCCCAGCTGCTCGGGGGGCTGAGGAGGGGGGATCACTTGAGCTCAGGAGTTTGAGGCTGCAATGAGCTGTGATCATGCCACTGCACTCCAGCCTGGGTGATGATCTCAATTAAAAAAAAAAAAAAATTGCTCCAGCCAAAAACCTGGTCTTCCAATCTTGACTCCTCTCTTTATCTCAAACCCCTATATAAATCTGTGGATTCTATTCACAAAGTAGGCCCAGCACCTGCCCACTTCTCCACTCTTCAGGGCCCTCACCCTGGACCTGCCTGCCGCTGTCTTGTCCTGAACCTTCACAGCAGCCTCCTCTTTGGCAAACTGCCCCCCAGCCCACTCCCACTCTGCTGACCACATGCAGCAGAGGGAGCCTGTGAACTGAGTCAGGTCACATCCCTTCCATGCTTGAAAATTCCTGTGGCTCAGTCTCTCTCAGGGTAAAAACCTAAGTCCATTCAGTGCCTTCGACGCCTTACAGATCTGCCCCATCGCCCCTCTGCCCTCATCTCCTGGCACTCTCTTCTTTCCTTCCTCCCCTCTCAACACTCTAGCTCCCTGAAGCTCCTCAGACTTACCAGACACACTCCTGCCTCAGGGCCTTGTACTGGCTGTTCCCTTTACTTAAAACACCCTTCCCTGCAGACATCCCCAGGACTCCCTCACCCTCGTCAGGGCTTTATTCAAATGCCAGCTCCTGGCCGGGCACAGTGGCTCACATCTGTAATCACTTGGGAGATTTCCACCTGGAATCACTTGGGACACTTTGGGAGACCAAGGTAAGTGGATCACTTGAGGTCAGGAGTTCGAGACCAGCCTGGCCAACATGGTGAAACCCTGACTCCACTAAAAATACAAAAATTAAGCGAGCATCGTGGTACCCACCTGTAGTCCCAGCTACTCGGGAGCCTGAGGCAGGAGAATCGCTTGAACCCAGGAGGCAGAGGCTGCAGTGAGCAGAGATCATGCCACTGTACTCTGGCCTGGGTGACAGAGTCAGACTCCGTCTCAAAACGACGACAACAAATGCCAGCTCCTGAGGAGGGCCTGACCTGGCCACTCTCGCTAAAATGGTGTGTATCTCCCATTCCCACTTTCTTTTTTTCTTTCTGCTATCATTTCTAACATATTAAGTCATTTACTCATTATCTCCCCTATTATAAAGCTCATAAACTCTTTGCAGGAGGGACTTCGGTCTGCTCTGCCCACTGCTTTATCTCCAGTGCTTTCAACAGGGCTTGGCACATAATTAGGTGTTCAATAAATGCACTTGTTGAGTGTCTTATAAAACTCAGCTTGAGGGTCTGATGGGAGAAGGGAGAATTGAAGTAGGAGACTTGTTTGGCAGTTCAGGAAGGTGAGTGGGTGGGGTGCACAGAGGCAAATAAATAACACAGGCTGAGACTTTGTCACAGACATTTCTTGGAGCAGATCTCGTGCCCCCTCCCCCGATGACAAGGCTGGGTCTTTGGCCCCCAACCTCCCCCACCACTTCAGCCTGCACTGACACTAACAATATTGAGGTCACAGACTGGCTTAGAATCAAGATCAGGAAGATATGTGTTGGGGTGCCTCCCCCAAATCTGGGGGCCAAGCATCCAATCTGAGGGGCAAGCGGCTGGGAAATTGGGCCTGGGGGCTCTAGGGTCTGAGGTCTGCCTGGCTCCCAGGGCGGCCCTCCATGCACCCCTGATTTGGGGGCAATGAAGGGGAATCATGGATCAGAGGTGGGTCTCAGCAGGGAGCAGGACTGGGGGACCTGGGAGAGGCGCTGCTGGGAAGTGGTGGCCAGGGGACCTTTCCCCAGCCCCCACCGCTTCATCTGCAGATCCCACAGCACCGTACAGCACTCTGGTCCCCCGTCCCACCCCTCCCCAAAACGAGGTAGGTTAAGAATGGAGCTTCCCCCCTGCCCACCACGGAAGGGGGGAGACCGAGGCACAGAGAGGGGCATGGGAACCCAGGCTGCCCCAGCCCCCAATCCCTCCACCCTCAGCTCTGGTGGGTCTGACAGTGATGAGAGCTGGGCAGAGTTGGGAGGGGAGAGACACCCCCGCTTTTCTCTCACCCATCCCAGGGTCTGGTTGGGAGTGCTGAATCTCACAGGTTCCGGATGTAATAAATAGTTAATAATTTAAAGGAAGAGACAGAGGACCTATCCCTTGAACCCCAACAAGGCCATCCAAGTCTGGGTAATGAAGAAAGGTTAAGTGCACAGTTCCAGATGCTTGGGGCCAGATGCAGGTTCCAAGCCCACACAACACTGAGGCTGTCTTGCTCCAAGACCTTGATGCCCCCATACAGGACACCAGA